TCACAGAGCTTTATTCAACGCTGTACGCTCGATTTGTTGCTTCACTTAAGCAAGCATCATTTGTGAATACGGACGTTAATGATAAAGGGTATTTTGTTATCCATGACCAAAATATTAACAGTGATTAACTTTGAACGCAGTATTAAAGACTTCCGCAGGTATATTTTAAAAAATATGTTTTCCTTAGCCAATATAGAGATACCTTAGTATGCTTCCTGAGAAGAATCCAATAAAAAATATTTTTGTATACCCATGTGTGACTGTTAATAGAGATTCCCACCTGTTATCTTTCCGCAAAGACCCCCATAAATAATGCAATCTTATAACAAGATTCAGAAATCAGTTTCCCCGTGTAAGGTTAACATAATTCACGTCGTAAACCTAAAGAGAGACCTTGAACGGGGCGCGGAAAACAATAAACGGGCCCTTTACTGCCGAACGCTACAACAGCCGACCGTAAACGTAGTGGATACAAATCTGAAATGTGACGTAGCATAAAACATTCATGTAAGCAATGCCGGCCGCAGCGCAAGCGGCGCCCCAGGGAGCGACAAAACGTAACGAACCACGCTCCCAACATCCTTTTATGTCCCAGATACATTTTTCCGTGCGAGGTGGGGACTTGTCTTCGGATAGATTATTTATGCTGTCACACCGCGACCTTTTGTGAACCGGAAAGGTGTGTTGATTGCTGCCCAACCGCTGTCAACCGGAAAACGAAATCACGAAATAGTGACGTCCCTTACTCCGCCTTTAACATGTACAAAAAGCCATTAAATCAATCACGTTTTCAATGAAAGTATTAGAGGTTGAGCCGAGGTTGCTTGCCGGCGCGAAAAGTCTGCGGGTAGGGCTTTTCACTAATTCTGAATTTAAATGCATGAGATCGAATAGGTTCACGCAGTGGATTGCTGACTTTTCCGATTCCGATTGCCAGTGCTTATGTATTTAGGAGAAAAATGGGACACCAGGTCGTTCTTCAACGTTTACAAAGGAGTGTTATCAAAAGCGTTGTTGGAGATTTACGTGAGCCAAGATACCTCTCCCTTTGTGCTTTTTCTTACACATTTGTAATAAAGCGCTGCGAGAACCCAGAACTTTAGATTAGGCAGTTCATTTTCTTCGTGACTCACTTACTTTAGTGTTACTCAGGGAGCACATTTTTATAGGATGTGCCTTTTCAAAATTTTGTTAGCTTCTGCTAAGAATAGCTTCATTAAGATAAATATATTTGGATATTTTGCAAAGCCCCATCAAGTCTCAAAATACTGCCTATTTTAATATACCTACATTTTAACAATTTGTACCTACAATATATTTTTTTTACATTAAAATAGTCATTAATCAAATGGAAGGTAGCCAATTTACTCCAGTGATTAATGGAAACTGATAACGCAACGCTAAAATTTGAAAGGCACTTTCATGTAGTTATATCTATTTGTTTATACGAGTAGGTACTTAGGTAGGTACTGTTGACAATTTTATGCATAATAATGTTTATTTTATGCATATTATAGGTACATACTTAGTTCACTTAGGTAATAGGTACAAACCTTACATGTATGATAAACGTAGCAACTCGCAAAATATGAAAGCTTAATATCTCATACCTTTTCTTAATTAACCACTTCACTGGTCAAGGCATTAAATTAATCAAAGGTTACCTAGCTATGGATTAATTTTGGAACTCATGTATTAAGCAAGGATTCTCTGAATGGCCACGCCGCGGAAATTGTTCTTTGAAGGTAGTTAATTTAATCACTTTGATATAGACGACTACTAGTTATTCTCGACCGGAGTCTAAAAGCGAAATGCTTGTCGCTCTCGTAAACTGTATTTATTTTGGCACCGAATTCCCTAGAAATACAATTTTGTTTACTTTAGTTTTGTAATATTAAGTGCTCTCAGAAGAGTTATTAGAATCTCAACTTAATAGACATTTTGACAGTTTAGTTAGCATTTTATTAAAATCCGTATTTTTTCTCTGGCAGTGAATTATTGAAAATTTTCCATTATTCTATTTTTCAAACTCCATGGACTATTACTACAAACACGTACTTTTAAAAGAAGCACGTCACACTAATGACCCATCATTGTGTGAATCTTATGCTACACCTGAGTAGTGGTATGGGAAAATTTTCCACTCCTTTTACTCACTAATAGCCGATATTTATCCCAAAGTGATGGCAACCCTGCCTAATAAAGGAGCCCACTTTTATTACATTGATTAAGAATTATTTAAATAATTAACAAGAATTATGGAAAAAATCGCCATAACAGGCGTGCCGTAAAATTAAAAACCAAACCAAAACCGACTGGAATTGCAAAAGTTCAATCGCCAATTTAAATGGCCACTTCTAAGGAATTTATCAATTAGATCCGTCCCAGGTGTAACACTGCGATATCAATCTTAATTTTATTTGAGTAATTTTCTCCGCCCCAGTCTTGAAAGAAGAAAGCCCAGATAGAAAGTCAGATTAAAGAAAGAATAGATTTGTTTACTTACACTTTGATCTTCGGGAAATTTTCTCAAGATGGTCCGAAAGCTGAATGGAGGAAATTTGTGTTATTTTTGGCTTATCGCGTAGCAACAAATACATTATCACTGTAATGGCGAATTAATTTGAAACACGTGCTTGTAGTTAATTAATTTACTGCCTAACTGTGTCTAATTACTTTCAGGTTCACGGCTTTTAATGTATTGTCGATTTTTCAAGAGAAATTGTACATTATTATTTGGCTTGATATACTTCGCAAGTCGTCAAAGTAAAAGAAAAAGCGTGTGATACACTATAGGGGGTTGACACGTCATTTTATAGTACTTATTTTTTTGCCCTAACAGCGATTAACAATTTTCTTTAACCATCATGTAACATCTTTGTTTTGTTTCGTGGTGTCGGGGTGTGCAACCTAATACGAAAAAGCTTTTTTTAAATTGTGTGTCAGATGCCTCAAAATATATAGCCTTCTCAACGTCTCCATTCTACGAGCTTTAACTCTTTTGATCTTAAATAAAATTTTTGGCTTAACTCTTTTGATCTTAAATAATTTTTTTTTTTAAAACAAGGCCTTGTGAGTGCTAAAATTAAATAAAAGATAGATTTAAAGATGCTGTGTAGGTTGTAGGTTAGCTAGATTTTGTAAGTCTTTATTTTAATTTTTTCGTACAAGTAGGTCATAAAAATAAAGCAAAATATTTCAAAATTTCTATATATACAAAGCAAAACTTTTTTTAATTATTTTCACAATAAACTAGACGCTACAATAAACCCGAGAGAGTTTTTCTTTTACGCGAATAACACGTACTGGTTTTATGTGTTAGTTTGTTAGGCTACTATCCAGTAAATATTCCTGCGAAATTGACTCCGGTCACAATAAATAAAGTCCCCCACAAAACACTGCATTAATGCTTTCACTGCATTGAAACACTGAGCGAACCGTAAAAATTTACGGCGTTTATCTTGCCGAGAAACCGGTTGGCGGTTACCGGTTTTCCAAGAAAACCGTGTACGGAAACGTCCGGTGACATTTTTCGTTTCTACTAAAATTACCTGCAGTTTTGGTGATATTCTGAGAGGAAAATTTAATTTTAGAAAGTCTGCACGTATCTGTAATACTATCAGGTATAAGGGGAAGCTATTTTCTTATCTTTTGCGTCTTCAGTAACGTTATAATTTTGTGAAACTTTAGTGAAATACCGAAAAATCACTCTTAAAATTTTCATCTGCTGAAAATGGTAGTAACTATAGATCTAGTTTAACTCAAGTCAGTGCCTGAGGTGTAAGAGCGACATGGGAGAGTTGACATTGACATATTATTATGACGACACAGAGCATATAGATGACCCACGCTGAACTGTCCCACCAAACTCAATGACAGGGGGCAAACATCGGAACCAGCGATCCGGTATTGACGGTGGCGCCCCGCTGTCAATGTCATGGATAGGACAATTCAGTTTTGGAAATATACAAATCTGAAGCATATCTGACGTTCGACGTCTCAATGATAGTAAGATTGATTTCATTGATCAATATAAATATGAAATGTAAAAAATAAATTTACGATAGAATTCGAGGCCGATTCAAATGCAAATTGTAACAATACGATAAGAAACAAAAGCAATATATCCGAGACATATTCCAACAAATCTAGCACTTGAAATGCATGAGCAATAAAACAAAACGTACCAAAAGGTGCCGTTGTCGAGCAAACAGTATTCATACGCGAGAATCTCTTTGACAATGTACGAAATATAACAGAGTCGGATTGCCTTGCACTCTCTAAAACCTATCTTTAGTTCCATGTAAGCCATTTTGGTAGTTTGAAATGATCTTCAAAGACAATTTAGTGTTATTGTGAGTGAAAACAGACTCACCGAAACTTGTATAGCATAAGTTGAAATGTTCCTTTATTTTGAGACAATGTTTTATTGAAGGTGATTTCCTGAAGCGTCGTATCAATTCTTCGTTTGATTAAGTTCTAATAATAGTCCGGACACTCGGGTCGGAAAAGTCACTTTTACGGCGAGTCGACATTGCTTCCGGAATAAATATACGGCAACCTCATTCAAAGGCGAGACGCGCAACATTATGCTGTGCGTGCATGATGTTCATATAGTTGTTAAGTTGGACTCATCCAACAGAAACTTTTGAAAGAGCATCACGATTTTTTTTATCTATTTAAAGTAAAAGAAAATCTAAACGTACTCGTAGATGCTTGATCGCATCCTGTGTTTTCATTACAGATTCAGTGGTAATCCTAAATCGAAGGGCGAATGGTCACTGCCTGACTCACTCATCACGAAATTTCAGAAACTACAAGTGCTAGAACTCAAATTTTGCATGTTTCCTTTTAGAGCGTAGGTGCTCACTAAGACGGGATTTCGCAAAATTCAACACCTAAGGGGGTTAAACGGGATCCACGCGTACGAAGTCGCGGGCGGCCGCTAAAACAATACATATAAATAAAGAGCTACAATTAAAATTTAAACACAAAATTACCTTTCGTACTCTCGACGACACAGTCAATCCTCCAGAGAAGCAAGCACGCGTATACAGTCAAGAGCATGTTGTCCCCGGATCGGAACAAGTCACTTTTACGGCGAGTCGTCATCGCTGCCCGAATATTCGGCGTTGCCGTTTACGGGCGAGGCTCGCAACATCACAGCACAGCACTTCTACCCCGAAACAAAAGTCGAGGAGTTACGACTTATGACTTACGGCTCTAGGTTTTACGACTGAATTTGCGTCGCGATAAAAGTTGTTTGTTTGATGCATTGATCACTTATCGTCACGAGCACAGTACCTGGAACAAGGAAAACAAAAGCATTACTTTTTTGTGTGCGAATGAATTTTTTAAGGCGCTATAACCGTAAGTTCGATAGAACGTCGCATAGCTTGCTGTAAGGTACGAGTATATTTTATTTCTAGGATTGTGCAGAATAAAAATTTCTGTAAGGTTCGTTCAAAGAATGTGACACCAAAAACTTGTAAACAATGATATCGATCTCTCTATGACTACTTTCATTTTACAACAGTAATAACACTAAGTAAGGAGTATAAATAGTACCTAGCCTTGTCTTATTAAAGCCTTTTTCTGTACTTTCTTAAGCAACCGCAATAAAAACATGTAGATGGTTGTACGGCATAAAATAAAATTGCCCACACAAGTAGTGCCATTCCAGTAATGGGATGCCTTGCGCAAATGACAGGAGCTGCTGAGATTCTGTGGGTATACTCGGGTACACACCAAATATAACAGCTACTCCATTCGGAATGGTCAACATGATACGGCACCCCCGGCACGAATAGTCGCGCAACGATTCCATGCTTCCATTCTTCCAAGGATTAAAATGACTATTTAAACCAGAATTAAATTATGATGCAACTTTTATTATTATGGGGGCTGCGGTGTAGTTCAATTTATTAAATGTTTCCTAAATTATAATCGTAAGACAAAGTTATAAATTCTTACATAAATTTCTCTGATGATTGGTGATCAAGCTATCCCACGTACAATACTTGTTTGTCGTTGTATTTATGTATTGAACTTTCTGGCTTAGCAAACATGTATCAAAGTCGAAATCGAAAAAGTGCCGAAGACAAAAAAAAAAAAAAAACATGTATCTATAATGCTGATGACGCTTAAACGAACTGGACTCCTAAATTTTGGTTAAGAAAAGCTTGTTCTTTAAAATTTAAGCGCGTTATTTCAGAACTCGACTTAAAAAAAATGAAACTTCAAACCAAAAGGCCTGGCTGTTCTATTTATCCATGTTGGATCAACGGACAGGCGAAGTGAATGTTTTTATGAGCACTTTACCGGTAGCACGCTATGGATACATTTGATCAGCTTATCAAGTAAATAAAATAAGGAAGTGCTGATGAGTATGGCCATAAAAGCCGCATAAATATAAACAATGTTTATTAAATATGGTAGACGTTTTGCAAATTACCAAAGAATGTTTAAGGCTTACCTATTCAGCCAATAAACAGGTAAAAGAAATTCCCAAATAAGTATGTCTTAAATATTTTTATTTAACTTTTATAATATGCACCTTGAAACGCTGATATTAGGTATCAAGATCAAGACGCACAAAAACTTTTGTTAAGTACAAAAATATTTAATAAATAAATGACGTTGATGAGTGTGAGAAAAATAATAAAAAAGTAGCTAAGGACAAAAAACCCATGATTTCCTTTTCAATATAAAAAACAGCCCTAAACATTTTATTAAATAGCTACTTAATTTTGTTTTCCTCCTTTCTATTCACTTCATAGTAATTTTCTAAATTGTTTACGCTTCAAATTACCTCCGTATTACAATTTTCCGCAAAAAATTGACAAGCTGCTTTCAGATTTTTCCTTGAAAAATAATTAAAAATAAGTGGACTGAAATCTGCCAAAGATCCTGTGCCTAGCTTTTGGATATTTAATAATAATTTTCCAAGTTTCGCCCGAAATACAGGATTGTTACTAAGAGATTATTACCTAGAACAGAAACATAAGGGAGAGTCCGGTAATTTGGACCAGTTTTTTTCAATCCCATTTTACACATAGTTTTCTTTTGTTTTTGCTAATGTTCATGGTATGTAATTAAAGAGAAATTATTCAACTTACTATTTCATAGGTATTAATCAACATATTTTTTGTATATTTAGCACAAATCAACAAAATACGAGCTCAGAGCTTCGGTCCAATTTAGCCAACCGGTTCGATAATTTGTACCACAGGGTTACTAAATTGGATTGCAATAAATTTCAAGCATGTAAAAAAACTATGGCAAAATATTATACGATACATTCTTAACAAATTAGGTAACGAAAAGGAACAGTAGTTAATAACATAGACAATCGATATTGTTTTACACGTTATCACGATTTTAGTAAAAGTTTTGTAATTCCAATTATCGTAACGCACACTTGTACCTAATCTACTTTGCCAGTCTTTTGCTTTCATTTATTTTTAGTCAAACATAACTACGCTATTATAACTTCAAAATATGATTTAATAAAAAAAAATCAAAATCCTTTGGTAAAGTTCCATACAACTTGATGTGGTACAATTTAGCGGACTAGGTGATAGTGCTTTTAAAAAATCGGTAAAAAATATAGCTTATAAATACCGAAAAATGTTTCAAATAATTGTAATCCACACTAATTTACGCTTCTAAATAATATATTAGAAACACCCTGTGATTAAATTTAACAAAATTACAAACTAAACATGCATTGTCAAAAGTTACTTGAAAACAATGAAAAAATACTTTTCAAAATAAAACACACGTGTTCGTTGTCACGGCAAAAACACATGGCCGATATTAATTGAATTTAGTTGTGTATCGCTGAGTGTTGCAATTACAGACATTCAATAAATACTTTACGAAATATGAGGGTGGTACAATTTACCCGGCGGTACAATATACCGAACTCTCCTTACCTATGTAAAAAGCTAATAATTATACTTAAGTTGCAGTGTACCTAAAGTAATTAGATAATGTAGCACTTATATTTTAGATACGGAAATAAGTTCATTTTATTGCTGCCCTAAGCTTAAAACTCTTAACGCCAGATGATGGCATTTTAATAGGAAGTTAATGACTCATAAATGTCAACATGTGGTCAATTATCACATCGTGTAGAAAACTATATTCTCATGGTATTAGTTCGTCATGCATGAAATTATTTTTAGAAAACGCGCCCTTATGCTCTACATATCTATCACTAAAGGCACTTCAAAATGAATTGTGAAGTCGTCTCTGAAAGATTAAATTTTATTTTGAACTAGGTTTTGCCCGCGGCTTCACCTGCGTGATATGGATCTGTCGCAGAAAGACACCTCCTTTCAAAAACTGTTCCATGTTTTTCTCTTTGAAAAATTGTGTCTATACAGAGTGATTTTGTAATGAGTTTCCAAACGCTAAGGACACTGATTGCAAATTCACCCTGTATCTAAGTAAACCTTCCTCATAAATCTGGTGAAAACACAAGGACTTAGCTATCTTTACTTAGGCTTAAATTACCTAATCCTATTTCTAAATTATAGTATGATAAACAATCCCAAAGCTAGGAAAGTTTCGGTTTGCATTCGTATTGTTTTTCTTGTGTTTTCCTCTGAGCCACTGTTTAACTTTTTGAAGTTGTCCCAAGCTTGCATATTTTGTTAAACTCTGCCTTTGAGTATTTTTCCCAAATTCCTTGGAATAGCGGTTTTATTTTCGTTACACCCCCGTTCCCGAAGTAAACAATGTTGGCTACAAATAAGTTATGTTTACAAAGAAGTTTCGGGATATCTCCCATAGTACTTATTACTATGGTGCATTCCGATAGTGAGAATGATTTAATTTTTAAAATAAGCAACTTATTGCTATAAGCTTTTCTGGATTGGATCTTATTTTCTTATACTATTCCAATTTGTTTGAAATGTTTTGTCTATTTTAGATAGTTATTTTATCCCTCTAAATAAATAAATCTAAGAATTACATAACTGCCTTAATAATAATATTTAGATAGAAACTTAATTCATGTCACATAGTATGGCGACAATATGACTATTTTGGGTACAGGTAAGCCTTCCCTAAATAATTTTAATTCAATAGTTTAATTCAATACAAGTACTGAATACAACAGATTCATTTGCTACATCCGACGATACCTTTGAGACTATCGGCTACACAATGCACACGGTGACACCGATCTATTGACTCTGTTAAGGTCAACTGTGTATTGTACTTACACAATGTCCTCAATATTGCGGATTTGAAGGATACACGATACACGAGACAGTGTGTTGATGAGACTCTGGAATTGGGCCACCAGTAAGACCCGTTATGAAATGACAATCAAAGCTAGATCCAATCTCAGACATAGATTCTGTCCTCTGATTGGTCGAAATATTGAAATTCAACCGAAAGCCACAATCTATGCGTGTAATTGAATTAAGTTTTGAGCTTCGTGTAATGAAATGACTGAAAACTAGATTGGATTTTCAATAGTTGTGGTTAGTTATTAGTCCAATCTGGCATGAATGAGTTCGCATAGATTGATAATTGGGCGTTGTTTTATAATCCGGGGCTTATGGCTTCAGACTTAATAGGACGAAGGAGACCACATCACGCATTGAGGACCAAATTCTATTGTCTATGATTGATTTAATTGAAATAAATCTGGACTTAGATAAATACACGTACGTACACTCGTAAGAAAAACAATGAAACGCAAATGACGTAGTTCTACGGAAGCATACTCGTACATACAAATTATAGGTACAGATGAATTGAGAAACTCCTTTTTGGAAGCCGGTCAAAAATACACCTCACCTAATAACCAAACATAGCTAGGTAGTCAAAGAACTCGTTTCAACTCACCTGTGACGGGCATGGCATTTGTAAATAAATAAACAGTTTGTTACCCATGTAACGTGTCCCTGCGTCGGAATTCAATTTATGCCGGTCCAAAAAGCGGCCATTAGGAAAAGTAATTAGCGCCGATGTGGCGTAGCCGAGCTGATAAATATTGCAAATCTTGTCTCGCACGGATAATGGACTTTGGCTATACAGGGTGGGAACAACACCCGACAGTTTTGAGGGTCGGCAACTATTCGTCTTTATGGGAGAAGTGGCGCCGGCCCTTGTCAAAAACGGTACGCTGACCGTGGCTCGGTATGGGTTTTAGCATAAACTACTGTAAACTTAGTCCTGTCGAAAGCATAGACAAGGCATAAATGCAAAATGCTACTTAATACGCATAATATGCCGTTGTTTGTATTTACATAGCGGGTGATTAAAAAGTAAAGAAATGAAATTAA